AAAAAAATGAATAAATATCACCGTGGGGAGGGGGGTGATGATAACTTCCTCAATGGCTCAAGGGGGCGTTTCTTTCAAAAAGGTTAAGAACCACTGGGTTAACCTATACTGCAGTGGTGTCCTTGAAACCTAGAGCCCAGTTTTCCAGGTTTGTAGTTAGAAGAGAATGACAGTACTAATGCACTGAATTAAGCAGCTGGAGCCCTTTTTAAATGGGCACACATGGCATAGCTCAGGATGAACCTTGTCTTTGGAGAAAAGCTGCAAAATAGACTAAATCCAGAGTATTTACACATTTTTGGCTTGATGACAGCGTGAAACAAGACCCTTCCAGTGGCTTCACAGTTGGGCCAGCAAAGAAAAATTATTTCTCAAATCATGTTAGGGGTTTTGGTGCATTTTGTCATAAATAGGAAATGTGTCCTTTGGTGTCTTGCCTGGGCATCTATTTGGGAGTTTTGTTATGGATCGGAAGAATCATCTACATAGAATGCCCACTGACAGATTCTGTGCTAAGCATTCAGCTCAGCACTGCTCCCGTTTTTGTCATTTAGAGCAGTTTGGGAGGGAGTTCCCAAACCGGTGTAAAACACTTCTTTGGAGGCAACTCTCCTTCACAACTTAAAAAGTGCACATTTGGCTGAAATGAGAGCACAATGGCCACTTTCCCAAAATTGATGTTTCTGCTTAGCAGTCCTCCCACAGGTTGTAACCCTTTGTGTTTCCCATTCAGTTAAAAAAACAAAACTAACAAAAAAAAACCCACTGATCTGGGAACAAGAAAATAATGATATGAACTTGAGATGAAATAGACTCAGGCCATCTCCCAAATTACTTGGAAAGGACCAGTTCCATTTGTACAACAATTATTAGGATACAGATCAGGTCAGGAGGTAAACATAAATTGCTGCTTACAGCTCATACCACCCACCCACCCCCAAATTCTCAAGGGCCTCCATTTTGTCATCCCTCAGATTCATTTCATACTATTTTGTTAATATGTCGGTATTATTTTGTGCTTCAGGCTGCCTTGAGGAGAGCATAGTTTTGAAAGGCAACTGAGAAATTGATTAATTATTTTACTCCCTATTTTACTCCCATTCATTTAACAATCCAAAAGAAATAAGCTTTCCTCAGCCTTTTTCTGTGGGTCTCTCCTTTCATCATGATACTTCCACTGCCAGTTGCTTTAAGCATGTCTCCTATTTCCTGAAGTTAGTTGCCTATTTTGCTCCCATTCATTTAACAATCCTGCCTCTATATTTTCCTTCCCTCATCTTCACTGTCTTTTGCAACTTCTCTCCACTCAGCATCCTATTTTGCAGTTTCAGTGTCTCAAGGCGGCTGAGCAGTGGGATTACTCCCTTCACTTCCCTCTAAAAAGCTGAATGATTTACAAACTTCCTTTCTTGTGGTATTCACATGCTCAGTAGTGGTAAATGTTTGTGAAGACCTCAGAACAGCTTGGTCAATGACTAGGGAAATTTATTGGCACCACATGCCTTAAGACGTAGTGCTGAGTGAAAATATACTGAAATGGGAGCTTCCCGTGCGAGTTCTAATTTTCCCTCAGAATGACTTTCAGGAAAAGGCCACATTTTTCTGGGATATTCTGAGGGTACACAGAATGATGAGGAAGTGGCAGAGCAGCAGTGAAATTCACCCTAATCTTGGGCAAAGGCAGGATGCCTTTACATTGCTGTCTCCTCTCATGATATCGTCCAAGATAAACTTTCAGAATTTTGGCACTTCACAATTGTACCAACTGCAGTATACATTGCTATATTGTAAAGTGCTTGTAAGAGGGTGCTATATGAAGAAAGTGAGAGAATCTATGTGTGTGGTCCATTTTTATCATTTTTCTAAAAAAAATTATGTTACTTCTAAGGATACTTATTTCTCCCACCACTGGTAGTATCTTTCTGCATATGGAATAACATTAAACTTCCCATCCTCATCCAGATGACAGAACAAGGCTTGAAGCAAAGAATTTTAATGATATTTTTATTGTCTTAGCTGGTGGGGAGCTGCAGATGTTGTTCTTCCCTGTAGAGGATACTAATCGAATATGGCCACCATTAAGCCAGCAGTTTCTATGAGAACTTGCTTGCTAGCTACACAAGCCTTAGCAGGTGACCTTGCCTGTTGCTTCCTGAGTAGTCTTAAGCCATCTGTACCTTCTACCTTCTCACCCTGCCTTTTCAACTTTGTATAGAAAACAAACAAACACAATTGTTTGTACTCTGTGACCATCAGTCCACAGGCAACTGTCGTCCTCCAGATGTATTTGAGTTGCAGTTCCCTGAGGCCCTCACTACTTGGTTTTCTAGCTAGAGCGGGAAAGTTGTAGGTGAAAAATATGGATTGCCACAATTGTGCATCTTTGCCAGACAGGTTAAAAGACTGTAGAAAGAAAGACCAGTGGCCCCAGACATCAAACATAGCTTCTAATTTTTTTTCTCTCTTTGCCGTCTGCTACTGTTTGTAGTCCCTCCCTCTGCCCCAATCTGCAGAATTCAGGGATCTTTGAACATTGGCAGTGACATCACACTGACCTGCAATTCTGAAGAAGGCATCCCTCGGCCAACCTACCACTGGGAAAAATTGGACAGTGCTCCCAAGCTGCCTCCAACGGCCACACAAGGTATACTATGCATGGTTTCCCCCAGATTGTTTCATTTATGCTTTGTTTGACTTCCTGATGCTGACACCAGATCACAACTTAAACAACAGGCTCAAAGCTGCCACTTGATTACTTGCATCTGACAAAAAGTCCCAGTTCAAGGCAATCATGGATAGCAGAGAAACATTTAGTATCATTATCATTGGTTGTTCTGGGTTTTTCCGGCTATGGCCGTGTTCTGAAGGTTGTTCTTCCTGACGTTTCGCCAGTCTCTGTGGCCGGCATCTTCAGAGGACAGCAAGAGCCCGAAAAACCCAGAACAACCATTAGATCCTGGCTGTGAAAGCCTTTGCGAATATATCATTAGCATTATCACTCCGGGAGGCAGTGGAAAACAGGAGGGCCTGGCATGCTCTGGTCCTTGGGGTCACGAAGAGTCGGACATGACTTAACAACTAAACAACAACAATTCCCTCCACCCTTGCAAGTATCAGCTATTCCATTTTAGGGGTGGAAAGAATATTTGCTTAATCGTTCATTCCTATCAGTTTAGACTAACAAAAGGAGACATTTTGATGAGGAATTGAAAGAAACCATGAGATTCCTTGCCTCCATCTGAGAGTAAATTAATAGGCACATCCCCCCTCAGTAATTTGTGCAGAATATTTTTTGCACATAATATATCTTGTGATCTTTCCTTTTGGTAAGTCAAATGTACACAGAGCAACTATAGAAGAACAGGTTGATTATTAAGAAAGATGCAAACATTCCATTCAGCCCCTCAATTGTTTAAACAAAGCAGCAATTGTACTAATTAGTTTGGGACAATTCGCACAATCATGAAACAGCATTTTTTAAAAGGCCATTGTTGCGCAGAATGAACCATGTTTTCACATACATGGGAAATTTTGCACAAAATGTTAATTCTCAGTGATACAACTCACAAGTGTTGCACATTCCTTGCCATGCTAGGACAAGAAAGTAGAGTATGAGACAAGGATTTATATCACTATTAGAGATGGGAGTATTCGTATTCAAGCCTCTCTGCTAAGTCGAAGAATGGCTCACCGAATGCTATCTCCGGAGCCTTTGGAAGGTTCCACGGCGCCCGCACCCACAGCTGATCAGTGAGTGGACCATCCGGCCCCATGGGGCTGGACCCTCATTATGTCCACCTCTAATACCCTCATCTCTAATCACAATTCCACACTGTCATTGTCTGAAATCTTGTTGCTGAGCATAGTACGTTGCAACTAGAGTAGTTGTAACTTACAGAGCAATTGACTCACCCAATCCATACTGAGCCAGATAGCCTACTTGAGTGCAATTTACTATGCCAATCAAGAGGATTTCAGCTTTTGTGTCCAGTTTATAATTGTGTGGCAAATTTTTGTGTTCTGTATTTAGCTAGATTGTCCTCAATCAATGGCAGACACCTTGGTTACCACCAACACCACACTTAAAGACTGTCAACTTTGTAAAGCCTACCAGAGCTTGATTTGAGCATCCACACCCCAGTAAGACATCAGAAAAGAAATATGTGAAAGTATTACAGTAATACAAGCACAACAATTCAAATACAAGTATGGTGAACTAGTCATATTCAGTTCAGTGACACACACAATGCCGCATATAAAGCACTTGGTGCCCTCTAGTGGAATTTCTGATGTTACTAATTGAATTATTAAAAGGAAACACATCTCATACTGTAGTAGTCTTTTTGACAAATTGGCCCCAAGTCATATCCAAAACAAGAGACCTCTCTGCT